ATGTATTGTAATGTATTGTAATGTATGTATGTAATTTTTGTGATGTATGTCATGTGTTGAAGGCATACATTGTATGTAATGTACGTAGTGTATGTTATGTACTTACTCTATGTAATGCTGGTATTGTATGTCCATGTACTGCATGTAGTGTATGTATTGTATATCATGTACATCATGTACGGCATGTATGTCTGGCATGGCATGAAAGTCATGAATGTGTTGATGGGTTTTCACGTATGTTTTGCTTGTCGTGTATGTCCTGTATGCCATGTACGTGACGCTGCTGCGCGTTCTGTCGAAACCCCGCTGTTGGGGCGTCTGCTCGCCAGCTGACCTTTTGCCGCAGACTGTCGCCTTGGCTTTGGGCTTGTGCGCCGGAGCCGCGCTGCTTCGGACGTCGGTACTAGGGCCCGTAGAAAAATACGTCATGTATGTGGTGTATGTGATGTATGTGATGTATGTGATGTATGTGAATGTATGTAAATGTATGTAAATGTATGTAAATGTATGTAAATGTATGTAAATGTATGTAAATGTATGTAAATTATTGTAAATGTATGTAAATGTATGTAAATGTATGTAAATGTATGTAAATGTATGTAAATGTATGTAAATGTATGTGAATGTATGTGATGTAGTTGAGTTGAACGTAAAGGTAATGATCGTGAGTTATTGTATGCCATGCATTGCATTTCATGTAACGTTTTCAACTTTCTCCATTGTGCCACGTTTGCACTGTCTGTATCGTTTGTCATGGCTAAAAGTTCGCCTGCCCTGGCAGCACACGGGGCTGCCTGGGTCGACGCCTTGCGAGTTCTCGTTCTGCGAGCTCTTTTTTCCTTCGATGCGGCTGCACGGTGCGACTTGCCTGAATAGATCACTGCGAGGGTCCCGCGCCACGCCACGGCAACCAGCACTTGGGCAAGGAGAAAAGGTGTGTTTGCTGTGAGGCTGTGGTGCAGCTGTAACAACCAACGTCGCGGACTGCCGGAGCTGCCGCGCGGCACGCTCGCCAGCTCCGGCTGCTGCCGTCTCGTCGTGCTAGGCATTGAGACCGGCATTGTGGTGTGCAAAAGCTGCTTCTTTCCCTCCGCCTCCTTGGCCAAATGGCGAGCCCTCAGCCCCTATACCATTGCAGAGTGCATGCATCGTTCTCCTGATCGTCCTTGCCCTTGTCGTCCTCGTCATGCTCGCCCTGAGCATCCCTCTCAGTATCTTCAAGCTTTGCGGCACACTGAGTGAAGTGAAACTCGCCGCGAGCTGAACAGCCATCGCAAGCATTTCGCAAAAGTTTCGCATGTCAGTGTTCGGTGTTTGTTCACCTCGCCAGCTCTTCTTGCGTCGAAATTGGATTCGGGATGCGGTGGTCCACATGTCGCAGCTGGATTCACAAGTCCTGGCATTCAACGTCATGAACGTATTTAGTGCAAGCCCAGGCGATTGCGGGAGCCTTAGTTCATGCTCACACTCGTGCTTCTGGCAGCCGTCACCTAGTCATGTCGACGAGGGAGACGTTGGATGCAATTCGGCAGGGAATAGGCAACATCCAGTAAGCTGATCCAAGATGCAGGCGCCGTCGTTGATGGAGTTCATGCAAGCAGGGCGTAGTCGGACGCAGGCACATAGGTGTGGGAAGGTACCAAACACGGAGGTGCCTTGCAGAATGCCTGCCAGGTGTTCTTGTCAATCAATCATCGCGTCCAGCTTTTTGGGCTTGAGCTGTGTAGGTGAGTGTAGGTGGTTAGGCCAACCCCGTGTAGGGTGCGCTATGTCCTGAAACGCCTGCGCAGGAGGGGCAGCAGAACACTGTCAAAGATGTCCCGGAAGGCCCGCGTGGATGTGCAAGAGAAAGCCACTTGGGACCGGCCTCAATATTTCGTGTTCAGCAAAGGGTATGGCCCTCCGAAGCCTCAACATATAGTGGGAAGTTTGCCAGAGAACGGCGAGATATTGGTCATTCTGCATTTACCTGAAGATGCGCCACTGCAGCCAGACGATGACAGCCACCCCGCATGCAAAGCGATGCTGCCTCACATGGATAGGTTCTTCCGGGCAAGCGGACCGGCTTCGCCCCCTCGTGCTGTCATCGTCGTGGACTTGCGCTCGGCATGCGCCAACATTTCAGAAAGCATTGCCAAAGTACTTGATGATGAAGGCGCCGCAGAGAAACTAGGCAAGGGGCTGACAACGAAGGCAGCGCGTGCAATTGAAAGACTTTGCTTGCGTGGGGCCACTCTTATTGCCAGTCAGGGCACTGCGCAGATTGCTCTGAAATTGCTAAGTAGTTCTCGAATTCTGCCGGAAGCCATCAAGAGGCTGGTGTTGATTCATCCTCGTTTGCCGGGTTCTTGTGTCAACTACACCTTAACACCAAAGACAAAGTATCCGCTGCACCTCGATGCAATTTTCGATTCCGAAGGCACGCAGCAAAGAAGACTCGACATTCTGAGTGGTGCCTTCAAGACAGTCACGCCACATGTGTGCGCAGACCATGATTCTGCAGCGTTCCTCGGTTTGCAACAATGCTTGGGCAGCGATGCTTCGCCGGGCGATTCAGAAGATCTGGGCGAATCCATGTGGGTTTGCCAGTTAACGATTGAGCTGGACCCCAGATCTAAGCAGCCAAGGGCTGAAATCGTGGACATAACTGCGGATGTCCAAGATTCAGAGCCCGACCCGGAACATGCAGAAGGAGATGACGAGATGGAGGACCTGGGTACAGAAGTTGCAGCGTTGGTCCTTCGTGGCAGTCGCTGCCTCTTGGTTCGTAGTTTGGACAAGCAGTGGACCGGCATGAGAATCCCCACTGCCGTTGCAGAGCCGGACGAAAATACTTCCAAGACTGCCCAGCGGTGCATCGAGGAGTTGTGTGATGTCGAAGGCTCCGAGATCGAAGAGCTCGTGGCGGTTCCACAGCTTCCCTTGTACAAAGGCGGCCGGTGTGTGAAGATGGTATGCTTCAGGGCTGTCAATCCGCCCGCTGGTGCCCCGGAGGATGCGGATGTCTCTGACGACGAAGACCTTTACGATTGGTACACGTGGCCCAGGGCCCTGCATGCTCTCAACAGCCGGCCTCACGAAATCCGGGCCTTGCGTGCCGTGGCCGTGGTGCTGCAAAACGCAGCAGAGGCCGGCCTGGTGCGCGCCGAGTATGGCGGGATCTTTGGACAGGAGTGGACGAGCTGCTTCAGCGAGCCGTCGGGTCAAATGCCTGCCCTGGTAGCTGTTGAGCCGGAGCTTCCGATTGTCAAGAAAAAGCTTCCGGTCACCGTACTTTCGGGCTTCCTTGGTGCAGGGAAGTCTACGCTTCTGCACCACCTGCTGGGCAACAGGGATGGCATGAAGATCGCAGTCGTTGTCAACGACATGGCATCTGTGAATGTTGATGCGATCCAACTGGAGGGTGCGAAACTTCTCAAACAGGATGAGATGATGATTGAGCTTTCCAATGGTTGCATTTGCTGTACACTTCGTGAGGATTTGTTGACGGGATTGCGAACCCTGGCTGCCGAGGATTTTGATTATGCGCTCGTCGAGTCTTCAGGAATCTCTGAGCCAATGCCCGTGGCGGAGACATTTACTTTCGAAGACGAAAATGGTGTAAGTCTCGGACAAGTTGCCCAGCTGCAAAACCTGGTGACCGTTGTGGACTCCTCTGCGTTCTTGAGGGAGATGTCCTCTGCGGAGGCTTTGCGTGACCGGAATTGGCATGAAGGTGAGGAGGACAAGAGAGGCATTGCAGCCTTGCTATTTGACCAAGTTGAGTTTGCTGATGTCGTGCTACTCAACAAGGTGGACCTTGTGTCGGCCTCGGACCTCGCGAAGATCCATCAAATCATCGCAGAGATCAATCATCGAGCTGAAGTCATCGAGACATCCTTCAGCAAGCTCGCGCCTGCGAGCATTTTCCAGGTTGCCAGGTTCAACATGGACACCGCAGAGACCAATCCGAAATGGCTGGCAGAAGCCAGGCATGCAGAACATGTCCCAGAATCCGTGGAATATGGCATCCATTCTTTCATCTTTCGCGCCAGAAGACCTTTTCATCCCGAAAGGTTGCGTTCCTTGATGGATGCGGCTTGTGCTCGCAGCGGTGCAATGCAGGACCTGGTTCGATTGAAAGGCATTACTTGGTTGGCTTGCCACAACAATCTGTCCCTAACCGCTGCTTTCGCTGGCTCCAGCTTCGCCATTACTCTTGGACCACCTTGGTGGGCGGTTGTTCCTCGTTCGGACTGGCCGCAGGGTCTCGAAGATGGCCTGAAGCCATTCTGGGACGACGTGTACGGTGACCGCCAGCAAGAGCTGGTTTGTATTGGGATCCACATGGATGAGACGGCGGTCAAGGTTGCCTTGGAGCAATGCCTTGTCACAGACGAGGAACTGGCACTAGGGCCAGACACTTGGTCGTCTTGGAGTGATCCTTGGAACTGCCTTGCCCAGGAACATGGCGGTTGTGATGTGTCTGGCCACGACCATGGCGGGGGTCACGCTCACAGCCATGGTCACAGTGACGCTGTGCATGGTCATGACCAGGACAGTGGTCATGCCCACAGCCATAGCCAGAGTCATGGCCATGATGACGGAGGACACGGATGCGATGCACATTGCCACGACCATCACGGTGGTCATGATGACAGCCGTGGTCAGAGCCATGGTCATAGCCATGGAGGATATGCCAGCGCTAAGCAGGGTCACAGCTAGGATAGGACAGAGGCCATGCCCACAGCCACGGACAGAACCACGCCATGCTGACGGAGGACATGACTGCGATGCACTTCGCCAAGACTACATCAGTGGGCATCATAAGTCATGGTTAACATTGGCCTGTAGCCAAACCAACAACATGACAATGAAGCTTCACGAGTGTCACCGAGTCTCACACCGTAGATGTAACAGTTTTCAGGCCGACGCGCCATGTCCACAATGATTCACTATGCGTCACGCAAAACTACCTTTAGGTCCTTGGCATCTCATCGTCAGCGAGCTTGTCAATTGTTCTGGATTGTGGTCCCGCGAGCAACACAGGGCCTAATCAAACGGCGAAAATGTTGCCGGCAAGTGTTTGTCATCGAGGGGTGGGCACTTATGACGAGACTTTCCATTCACGCGTCCGAGCATAAGGTGAAAAGGTCGTTGAATTCTTTGGCCGGCACTCCTACTTGCATGTAACAAGGAGCGATCTCTGCTATTCCATGGAACCAGAGATTGGAATCATCATGCAGGCAGCAGGTTGGTCTCTCTTTCTGCACTTGTTGAAACTCTCCCCGCATGACTTCATAATTGGTTTGCTTCGCGCCACTTGAACCCACGATGGGAGATGGAGACAGAGCAAGTTGCAGGGGGCTTCAAGAGCGAAGTCGAAATGGGATTATCCCGACATGTTCAGGTATTGTAGCCTATGACACAGTGCTTCACTTGCTTTTATTGTGAAATACGTCCCGTTTCAGTTGAGCTCTTTCCGGAGCGCAGACATGGAGCTGCGCGAGCCATGGGAGTGAGCGGCGGCAATTGGGATGATGATGAGGAGGTTGGCCGAAATGCGCCCACGGTGACGTACGGCTTGGAACCGCCCCTCACCTTGTTTGTGAAAGATGCAGGCTAGCTTTTTTCCGATGCCCGTTTTGAGCCGGCATATGGGAGAGAAGCCATCAGCAAGGTAATCGGTAATCCCCTGATGCTTAAGACGATGGCAAGGTTCGTCTTCGATCCGGGCCCTCAGCCGACACAGGCGGGTTTGATAGGTCGCAGCCATTCACAGCATCCTGAGAAGCTCTCAGGAGGAGCTTGCCAACGATGCGGAGCGACGTGTGCGGCAGGACAAGCGCTTTCGCGAGGCGCAGTTTCCCACACTTGGTCAGTGTTGCTCTTGAAACAGGCATCATGGAGCCTTGCAAGAGATTCTCGATGGGCCTGACATCCAGAGGCCCTGCGCCGACAGAAGGCTGCCATCACAGCCATCCTCCAAGGATGCTTGGAGAAGGCTCCGGGATCTCTGAGAGTGCCAGCACAAGTGCAAAAGGCCCATGCCAAATGCAAGCACAGGTGAATGGTCAGTTGGAGCGAGGAGAGGCCGTTTGCCAAAAGGTGCCCGTCCGGAGATTTTTCCGAATGAATATCGCCACCCTGTAAAGTGCGCTGTCGGGGAGTTTCCGATCACGACGCCTGCTGTCGATCACGAGCATGTTCGGAGAATCCTCCATGCGATGCCATTGCATCGTCCTCTCCGACAGCACGTTGGCACAGGCACACTTCCCGCTGCTTCACCCAGTGGAGTTCGAGGATTTGGAGGCTCTTCCACAGCCTGGGCAAGAGTATCACTCGTGTTCCTCGCGACTCTGCACTCAGACTCGTCATGACTCGAGTGTTGCCTCTGCCGTTGACGACTTCGTGTAGCTGTGGTCCATTCTCGTCTCAGATTGTGCCTCCTCCGAGGCGTTTGCTCGCCACGACCACTTCGTGCTGGACCTTCGCATTGACAAGGCAGGGCAGCTGCATATTTACATGTGGTTGCTTTATCTCGCATCGCTTGGTGGAAATACGCATCGATGAGCGTCCACACTCGGGAACCAGATTTCTAAAAATCACTTTTATTTGTGAACGATCGGACGGTTTGACTTGGAATCGAGCGTCTAGATGGGGAATGGCTGGTTTTGATGTGCTGTCATGCCGCTGATGTGCGTCTCGAGTGGGTGCTGCTCGAATCGAGCGAATGGCTGGTTTTGATGTGGTGTGCTGCCACCGATGTTCGTCTCGAGTGGGTGCTGCTCGAATCGAGTGTCTAGATGGGGAATGGCTGGTTTTGATGTGGTGTCGTGCTGCCACCGATGTTCGTCTCGAGTGGGTGCTCGTCGAATCGAGCGTTTAGATGGGGAATGGGAGTCTAAGCGATTGTAGCCAAAGGATCAAACCTCGGAACGTGTGGATGTCAAGTGGTTTTCCATACCCAGGGCATCGATTCATGCGAC